GCATTTTAATCACAGATGGCTTATTGATTATATGGAAAATGATGAGATCATTAAAATTATAGGACACAGACATGAGACGACATGTAACAGGTCATACAGGCTCTGCAGGTGAAAAGCAGATCACAAAAGATTCAAAAGAAGAGAAAATAGTTATTCAAGATAAAGTTTATAAAAAAAAATGATTCAGTTTGTTACCAAGTAACAAACTGATCAGCTGTGAGCCTTTTAAGTCTTAAATATTGTATAAACAAGGAGACGGGCCACGGAAACTTTCTGCACGACCGATTAACAGAACATTGATTTTGTTATTCAATGTTCATAAACTGATACTGAGTTACAGTCATGATGCGTGAAAATGACACTTTGGCAATAACAAAAGAAGAAACAGGGAGTGCAAACAAGATTATACAAAAAGTAAAGGACCTGGAAGAGTTTTCCATGTAAACACACACACACACACACACACACACACATATATAATGTTTGTGTTACCTGAAAACAATGATCTCCTCAGATGCATCCTGCCTCCTCTTGTACTGCTGGAGGCAGATGTTACAGCAGTCTTGTCGTGGGTGGAGTCCTCTTGTGACAGCAGCACGCAGGTGAGCCAGGGACCAGTGGAGGTCGTAGTTCAACAGATTGGTGGTTGTTTCAAGTAAAGTCTGAAACATTTTTTCTTAGTTATGTCCACATTCATGTGCCATAAAGAGTTCAGAATGTGTAATTAGAATAACGTGTTTCCTTCACAGATCAAAGCTAAAGATTATTTTCACACCACGACTACACGAGCAACACAAACCCATCAGGTGGTGATGACGGGCTGAAACGGGCGGTAACTTCTATGCTATGCTGTCTGTATTCATGCAAACAGTAACATGTGTGTAAAAGCTCGACAGGTTTTCATTCATCTGTTTTTGCTCCTGGCAAACAAAGATTATCAACACGTCATCATACAATACTCTCGTTTATGGAGACAAGTCTCTCTATAATATAGTTACTTTCATATACCATACTCAAACAGCTGTTTAGTCTGAACACAAATATTACCTGCCATTCACACACACACGCACACACACACGC